CATTTTTTTTATACAATATTGTGAATGTTTGTAATAAACATAAAATAAATTAAGCGGCATTTATTCTTTTTATTCTGAATATTCAACAATATTTATATCTAAATGCAAAAATAAATGATTTTATTTTAAATGTATAGATGCATTCTCGTTTTGAAATAAAGTCTACAAATAGAGTCCATTTGGGTCATCATTTGGGTCCATTTGGGTAAATTGATGCGCCACGTTGGCTCGGCATTTTTTTTCAATACTTGTGCAATTTTTAGTAGACATTATTTGAATTACATAGAGAAACAGTACCACGATATTTGAGCCCACTCTTGAAGCGGATCTTTCACACCAATTTTTTTGTACTGTTTGAAATTTTTGAAAGTTTTTCAATTTTGTTTCCAACCAGCTATTCTCAAGAAAATGCTGTTTTGAATTTTCTTTTGTCTCTTTTCTGTAAATTTAGGGAGGCTCATTACACCACTTTTTGATGACGTACTACACAAAAAAATAAACCTCCATTGTTTCGACCGCTTTGCTTTGGGGTCGAATCGTATGGGTACCTCAATAATATGACCCTGACCTTTAAAACGCTTTAAAAAAAGATGAAACATGCGGTGTTATAAACAGTGAAGACAAAGTAAAGGATTCATTTTACATATACCACGAAGGATTACCTTTAAGCAGAAACAGAAGAAAACAACAGCCAAATCTTCACCAAACAAGTAATGTGCAATTTCTGACATGTCGAAGCAGTGAGCTCTATCAATCAACGTGTTTGCATGGAGGAAATTCAAGTTTAAATGCACAACCTTGTTGAAATTAAAAATGTTATTTACTTGCACAATTTACTGTGTTGGTGTTAATTTTTACATTCGCTTTATTGATTTAAATATATTTTATGGAAGTTGAAAGCTTTATTCTGAAATTTAGATGTAATGTTCAAACGTTCCTTTGCGTTTTGAGTCTTGGGAAATTAGGAAAGATAACTCTTGAAAAAGGACTTTTTATACCAAATATTTTCTAAATTGGAATTTTCATTTCGTTAAAACATTCTTCATTCAATTTGTCACAAGCAATTCATTGAAATACATTCCTTGTCTCTTCAGAACTCATTTTTAAAATATTTTATGCGCAGATTAAAAAGGTTATGACATTTATTGGTTTTTAGAAGAAAACTATTTTTTCTAATAAAATTAATATTAGGTATTATGAGGTATTTTCATTGTGTGTACTTGTCTTAAGAAGATGCCCATCATTTGAAACTGAAAGTTCTGAAATTCTGGAAGTATTAAACTTGAAATAAAACATTTCACTAAAATAAAAAGAAAGGTAAAAAATTCTCTAAAAACTATTTACGGTATCAATATCTCCATTTGGATATTTGGCATCTACATGATAAGTGGTGCTGTCATAAATCTAAAATAAACTGTGGATGTAATGAGCCACCTTAAATAAAAATCATGTGGATTTTATTTATAGCTTTGTTGGTTATCATTTCAATATTTTATAATATCTAACTTTGAATAGAAATGTAAAGCACTAGGCTTATAAAAATATAGAAAGGAGGGATTTTAACAAAATAAATAAAATATTTTAAATATTTCCAAACAAAAAAAAAAAAAAATAATAAAGTGAAATACTTTGGACCGTTATTTATCGGATATTGAGCCTATTATTAGAAAAAAATGCAGGCAACAAAAATCAATTATACTTCATAGGTGTAGAGATCCTCCTTAACAAAGATAGAAGTTTATTACGTAACATTTACGACAAACATGAAATCTTACTGATCAATGCTGTATGGTCTTATCAGTTATGTCATAGAAATAAAATACTTCTTGACAGAAACGCATTCATCTTCTGGGTCCTTCAACGAGACGTAAGTAAGACATCTTTGAGTTGAATTAATAAGCATTTACTAAATGTAGTACTGTGGTTTCATTAATTTTCGTTGGCATCAATTTTCATGGATTTTGTCAAACAGACGTTTTCGAGGATACGTAACAAAAGCATTGCCTTTACAAATGAATAACAAATTTTTTAATTCAAAACATTTAAATTCGTGTATCTGCTCAACAATGAAATCCTCGAAATTTGGTGCTCAACGAATATTAATGAAATCACAGTATATGAACAGATCTTATAACGTCATTAAGAAAAAAAGAAGAAAAATAAGAAAAAATTGGAGCAAATGGTTTATCATAAACGGCAGTTATCCATGTTACAAGTGTAGTAAACATTAATGTCATTAATCAGTGAGAAAATTACCTTTCCTGGTAAATTATACTTTGGGCTTTTCAATTGCTTCTTGATTTTTTTTATCGTTTTACATCTCACAAATCTTATTGTTCAATTTAAAAGACACACTTTTCGGACAATTGATTTTTTAAATTGCAAAGCTATATTATGTCCCAAAAACTGTTTATCTCCTTCAAAAACATTGTGCAATTATGTGCTTTTCATTTCCAAATATCAAAGAGTCTTATCAGGGAGACAATTTACAAACAATCAAAAAACAAAAACAATATAAATAATAAAAAGACTGATAATTCTTAGGGGTAAGGTCCCACAATCAAAGGCCAGACTTAAAATAGGATATGCACATGTCATTCTTAAATCGCCTATTTTTTCTAAATATGAAAAGTAAAAAATGTTTTGGTTTTTTTTTCAATTTTGCAAATGTTGAGCTTATCCTGAATATACATATTAAACTGGCAAAAAGAATTATATGACAAAAGAATAGTCTTGCTCTTTACTAACAACGAAGTCGATTCTTTTATTTGTTTAAACGACAGAGGTATGGATAGGACTCAAGTTACAATGATAAAAAAAATCAATGGCCTACAATGGATATAATATAAAATATCTTTTTCGTCGTCTCGATATCCGTGTGCTTGTCAAATTGCTTTTCTATATTTTTGTTGGTTATTTACACAGTGGCACATGATATGATAAAGTAAAACTTTATCAAAGAACGTTTCCATTGGAAGATGAATATCGTTAAGACATTGTAATGGTCATTAGGATAAATAACCATTCTCTTATTTCTTTTTCTGAGGTAAAAATACAAATAGAGTAAAAACTTCATAACCCCCCAAAAAAGCTATTTGCTCACATATGATAGCATCCAACAAAATATATTTTCTTTGCGCGTTGTTTAGAAATACACCCGGAGAGAATGCTGAGATTTCTTTTCATTGAATATGTTTTATTTAAATAAGACGAAAATAAAAATATAAAGAAAACCTGACAGGACTTTTTCACTTTTATAAAAAAAAACTTTTTTAACGGTGCTGATGTAAACTATTATCTTGATGGTTTATGCTGAATATAGTACAATGTATGTTGTGATGAAGAACAGTTTAAGAGCTCAAAGGTCCATTATACGAGGGTTGATCCAAAAGAAATGTCACAACTTTGATAAAAAAGCAACAAAATTATACATGACGGAAGCTTTATTTATTTCAAATCAGACCTGAAGAATTCAAAGGAATATGATGTATTCTTTCCAAAATATCGGATTTTAAACAAAGTACCTTTCTGGTAGTCGACGCATCTAAATATAACGTCATATATCGGATACGCACCGTCATACTTTAAAGCGTTTCCCTTTCGTTTCATCACGAAAATATTTGTGATTCGCAAACACTTTCACCAGTTCCATGATCTTCAAGAATTCTTGGTACCATTATACACTCACTCTTTTCATAATTAGGCCCGTTGTAATTTTTTTTTTTGAAAAGTAGCATAAGACAAACTGAAAAATTCACAGGTCACTCTATGGATATGTTTTTTTTACAACGTCAGACACCATAACATCTATAAAATAATACAAATAAACATTAATAAATTAAAATTTCAATGTTGATTAGATTTATTTTTGTGCATCTTTTGGTATATTGTATTTGAAAATATGCCGCCAAATACAAAAGATATGGACACTGAAACATTACTTTTGGATCAGTCCTCGTATACTATATTACAAAATAAGAGCAAAGCAAACACAAATCACCAAAACATCAGAGGTTGGATCAGATGTCATATATTACGGTGGTTAACATCCCCTCTTATTTTTACATTGTTCATACGTAGATCATGCTTTTCCGTATCGAATCAACTGAGAACTCCGTATGCAGGCATATTGCTGCATAAGTAAGGAGAATTAACGATTGAAAGATGTCAGTCATCACGTTTATCATAAAGCTTTGATGTTAGATTATTATTTGCGTATTTTATAGTAAAACAACCAAATATGAAAGAGATGTGTCAGAGTTTGTGGTAGGTTTTATTTCAATTACTAGGCGGGATATATTTTGTCGAAACAAGAATGGAAATAACTATTGCTATTTGAAAATATGTATTTGAGATATCTAAATTTTGAGTTGAAGGCTATAGTGAATACAATACAGTTTTTCTTTTGATTGTGAGCTTTGGTTTCCAGTTCTCTGCTATTAAAATATGATCGTGAACTACATGTTTTTCAACAATAAGTCTAGTTGCAATGAATTTGTCAAATCACTGGATTAATACAATTATAATACAAGGTCTTTTTGTATAGATAGACATAGTTTGTAGTTTGTTTCACATGACGTTTTACATGACGTACTAATCCCATTCCTTTGAAAAAAAGAGCTAAGATAATTATAAGATCATGTCATTAAATTATGATGTGGATTATAAAAGTACAAGTATTCTTTCAGGCACGTAACAACGTTGGGGTTGTTTTTTCCCAACATTACTTTTACTATTGAAAATGTCTATTGAAAGGTTAGTTACCCCCTCCCAGTTCTTGCCACAGTGTAATGATTGGAAATGTGGAATTTTATTGCAAAAAATTGTAAGTGAAAGGAAGTTGGCCTTGATAAAAAGTTAGCTAAGAAATAGGATTTTCCAGTTTGGGCATTTTTTTTTTTATTTTTGCTTGTTAACTTTTTCAGGTAAGTAAAAAAAAAATTCTGGTTGCCCCCCATTTCAAAAAAGATGACGCATGTCTGTCTTTGACATAATACTGCTGAAATACTTCACCGTTATTAATTGTAATGATCTGTCTATGTCAATTTATTTAATGATGGTCTCTTGTAGGGTCATTATAACGTTAGGAGTGAACAACTTTGTTACAATATTAATATTTTAATTCAAATTTGTCATAATTCTTCATAGATAACAATGGCAAAGGCATCAGGAGTCAAAAATACAGAGGTTGTAGAGCTGAGCAAATTTTCCAGCAAAGTAAGCTCAATAGTAAGTATTTTTTGCCATTTAAAAAAAAATGATATTTCTTATCCATGATATAGATTATCACACTGCAAAAATGTGTCAGAACCCCTTTCTTATTTTGAATAAACACCAAAATTGTTCTTTATGGGTTTTTTTTAGAATCCACACTGTATGTGCATATTGCTGAAAAATGACCTTAAAACTCCATTAATAAATCCAAGAGTTTACACAAATAAAGGGAAATTGTTCGGCGCTCCACAAAATGCAATTGAGCCAGGTGAATTTGCATGCCTTGGATTTTATAAAACAAAATATCTTCCATTTGGACCTGAAGGCATTGTATCCTATGACCTGAAAGATTTTGGAACAACGTTTTGCGTATACTTTGACAATCCGTATTTTGGTTATAACAAATTTACAATGCATTGGATGAAGAATGGAAGGAATGTGGATCAAGATCTCTGTCGAACTCTTTCGTCAGATAAAGGAAATGTTTGGTATGCGTATGGCAACATGACCTGGCATGATATGAAATCCGACATGTGCAATGCTATTGCTTCCGGTTTTATAGGAGAAGGATGGACTGCCGGATTGCAGTTGGTAGTAAAAAATACATGAACTCTGCTCACAACAAAATTGACAGAATATTGGAACATGATAAAGTTGCTTCTAAATATGATGTCAATTATCGTAACGATTTTGATTACTTCTTATCTCTCGTATTTTGTTCCTATTATAAGCTTACCACTTGCAATTCTCTTTTACAACATTTTATCTATCTTTGCTTTGTAACAAGCTTCTACACATCAAAATGAATGTTAGACAATTTTTTAGCAATATAATTTTTTCCATGGGCCAAAATAATGAATTTTGGCTCTTTTAATTGCTTATAAATTTTGTTAAATACATGTAATCAGTTAACCTTTAAACCTGTAGTTCAAAAGAATATCATATGAAAATATTTTATTTATATGTTCTGAGAAATTCCATTTCCTTTGTTTATGCTGATATAGACAATCTGGTGATAAATTACTATAAAAACTATTATTGTATTTTTTGCATATTGTGTACAACAAAAACTTTACGATGCTTCTATGAATCTTCATTCATCCACGAGTTCAAGTATCTGGTATTTCTTGTTTACTGAATCAATAAATGTCATGACTGTTTTAATTTAAAACAAAAATGTTATCAGATCCTTGAACTCATGGAAAATTTCTTTTTTAGATTATCTGCTTGAAAATAATGCTAAAAACCGTCCATTAATTGAATTGAAACATTTTAAATTGTACATGAGAGCGGTATTTACACATTGGTACATTTGTGTGAGACGAGTGTTATTCCCCTAAAGTCCGAAAAAAGAGAAAAAGTGAACAAAAATCTATTTAAAAACTAATTCTTGATTTTTTATAGATTGTATATTGATAAAAACAACAAATGCTCCTCAATCATGGACATCTTTTTTAACATTGCGTTTTCTGTGTATTGTGTTTTTTTCTGTTTAAATACTGTCATTCAAATAAATATCACAAATCGTTGGCTTTCATTTTTTTTTTCTTCTTTTTTTCCAAAAAAATATTTCTGTGCAAATTACGACAAAAGGTTGGATTACATGGAGGTGTCTCGTTTTACAATTGATTTTATTCAATTATCAATATACACTTCCCGTTATGTGTAGGGTGAAGTCTAGCTTCAGATTTCTAAATTTATACAAGTTGTTATTTGAACAAAATTTTGTTTCTTCGGTTGAAAATATATAAAATGTTGTAAGAAACAATGATGTAAATTGAAAGATGTAAGTTATTAAATGAAATTCTGTACATTTTAAAATTCATGAAAATATTCTAAATCAGAAATTTTACGGCCTATCTTATAGCGGCTTCACAAAAATCCCCAAAATAATCAAATCATTTCTTGCTTCGTTGAAGAGAGAATTATTCTTTTTGTCACGTGTCACGTGGCTCATTGCAATTACCTCTTTGTGGCGTTGTGTATGAAGGAAAATTAATTTAAAACCACAGTGTTAATTATAGCTAATTTATTACTTTTGTTCCTTATAATTCAGTAACCACGAAAGTGTTCATATGCCTTTCAGTAATTATTATTTTAATAGGTATCATAAATCTACATTATTTTTTCATTCAAATGTTCAACATTCTTTTTTTCCATTGTTAGCGTCAAGGTTTAAAAAACAAAAAATGGCCAAGATAAAGTTTTACATAGGAATATATAGGAAAAATCTTTAAAAATCTTCTCAAGAACCACTTGGCCAGGAAAAGTAATGAAACTCATGTGGAATCATCCTACGAGGTAGTGTAGATTTTATATGTTCAAGTCATGACTAAATCAGGGGGTGAGAGCGGGGCCAAAATGGCCGATCAAAGTTTTACATACGAATATACAGCTGTAATGTAAAAATCTTTAAAAATCATCTTCTTAAGAACCACTGGGACAGGAAAGATGAAACTCATGTGGAATCACTCCTCGGAAAAATTACTTAGATTCTAGTTTGTTAAAAGTCAAAGCAGTATGACCCCCGGGGGTAGGGCGGGGAAAAAATAAAAAAATACAAAGTTTTACATAGGAATATATAGGAAATATCTTTAAAAATCTTCTTCTCAAGAACCATTGAAACAGGAAAGATGAAACTCATGTGAAATTATCCTCAGGTAGTGTAGATTCAAGTTTGTTCAAATCATGACCCCCGGGGTAAGGGTGTGGCCAAAGAGGAAGGTTAAAGTTTTACATAGACCAATACGCATCAAAAGTCAAAGTTTTTAAATCTTCTATTTGGAAAATACATTCCAAATCCTCAGACATTGTCGGAAGTTATATTTTAACAATGAAAAATCAATTATTTAATGTGATTCAAGTTTGCATTCAGAAAACTTAGCCAGGTTTATTGAAATCCCTTGGTGGTTAAAAAGCAAGAATCCAAATGATAGCCTATGCCAGTCCTTGGGCTTGGTGCAGTGCTTGTATAGATACAAAAAGAAGAGCAATGTGTTGTTTTCAAGTAGCTGACGTGCTCAGGTCCGAAAGAAAGGCACTGATATGGGCATGTGAACGCTTTTTTTTTATGTATTTGGATGGATGCAAATTTGATTTGCTGACAGACCATAAACCTCTACTGTTCATCTACAGCACAAAGTCAAATCCATTCGCACGCATAATTCAACGATGGGTATTAGGACTTTAGTCCTTTCAGTTCAAGGTAAAGTACATTCCTGGACACAAAATGCTGCTGAGGTACTATCTCTACTCTGTATCTATAAATCCGATACACCGTCACCAAATTAGATATCTGAGAATTTTGTAAGATTCGTAGCTCTTAACACGATACTCAGAACCTTGACGATTCAGGATCGATTTGGAGAGAGAGAGAGTCTGCTGGAGATTTCGAGTTACACAGAATAAAAGAAGCTTTACAAATTTTGAGAACATCTACATACATGTTGAAATTAGGAAAAGAGGTACACGTATTGTTATTCCAACCAGCTTAAATGAACATGACACCAAGGAATCACTAAAACGAAACGACTCAGAGAGAAGGTCTGGTGGTCAAAGATTGACAGTGATGCTGAAAGCATTTGCAAGAAATGTTACACATGTCAAGTAGTGGGAGGTCCGTCGTCACCTGAATCTTTACGCCGTAAAGTGCTTCCAGGTTATCCATGGCAAGCTACATCAATCGATCAAATGGAACCTTTTCCAACAGGAGAATCGGCATTGGTGTATGTGGACTATTATAGCCGTTTCTTATAACTTTTACTTGAAGAGCACAGGATCAGCCAAAATCATCGAATGTCTGGAGGAAACATTTGCTCGATATGGTATTCCTGACAGTCTATGGAGTGACAACGGAGCTAAATTTCGATCTACAGAATTTGAGAAGTTTCTAGAGGAGTATTATGGAAAGCCAAATGTTCAATATTCTATCTATTTAATTATGTATTTGTTTTTACTAAATGTGTTATTTCTTTAATTAATGTAAAAATGTAAATCATTATTTTAACATTTGTGATACATTTCCGTATATTCGTTATTTAAAAAGCATAACATGTAAACGGGAGATAAGTCTGTGTAGATGCGTTACGAGTGAATGCATTATTCAATGAGAAAATACAACTTGTACTTTGTTATCCGTATTCATTGTTCTGAGTTGTGGAAATTACTTTGAGGTAATCCGTTCGATGTTAGTTCGACAATCGTATTTCATCATTCGTTCACTGTAGCATTATGACGACAGAGAGCGCGCACCCCGTAGAATCTTTTGGGAAGCGGACTAGAGAATCAAAAAGAGGAACACATAACCCATCCGTCGGAACTCATAATTTTTCTTGCACTCAGTCGTGGATGGTAGCTTTAAAATTGGTGAAAAATAAAGTGTTTTACCTTTTTTAACTGCCCCCCCCCCCCCCCCCCCCGTAAGTGTACAGTAAATGACAGCCTTTTTTAACTGGTCGGGTACAGTGCCTTATATTGTACATGGAAGATTATTTTCAATACGTGACGATCTTTTTGACACACTGGTTGAACGGTTCTCCAATCAATGTGAATGAGTCTCAAAGCATGACAGTCTACAAGTGGTTTTCGTTGGCGCATGTAAAATCAAGTGGTTTTACTTAATCACCGGATAAACCGTAGAGATTCAATTTTACATTATAAGACCGCAACTGAAGATTATATTTCATAGTCACTTGCTCATATTTATAACAAATTTAATTTTGTTTTTACAATGATTAAAAATATAAATATTTCTTTTAGAAAATCAAAGGGCATGATACATGTATGTATTCAATGATTGTGAAAAATATAAATATTTCTTTTACAATCGCTAAATTCATAAAAATCATTAGGGTTCTCTAAGGCTCTCTGGTTAGTAGTAACCCATTTATAATATTGGAATTTAAGTATGTGTACTTGTAGTAGCCCATAATGTATCCTTGGGTAAATTAAACGTGACTCATTCATCCTTGGGTAAATTAAACAGATAGCTTTAAAAATTCATTCTGAGGTCATAAACGTTAATGGTATCAACCTCATTTAAGAACTAATAATAATACAGTTACATGTAACAGGTGGAACAAAACGTCTGCCAGACGTTAAAGCTATACCGTACAATTTAAGAAGTAGTAATAATACAGTTAAAATGTGTCAATATGTCACTTACTGCAGCACACATCTAGATAGATCAATGAAATATTTAATATGCTATTGACTCAGGGAAAATGAGAAATGAGCAATCATCCTCTGTACCTGCATGGATTTAGGATTGTACAAAGTACAAACTGGTAACATGCAAAGATTTAATGGGAAGGGAAGTTGACCAAACTTTTATGCAATACTCTTAAAAATATATCCCTTCTTTATAAATTGGGCTGAACTTTGATCTGAGTAATCTTAAAATATTTTGATACTTGTTGTAAGGAACATGATGATAAGTGGTTCCGAAAAGTTACATTGTTATGCAAATATACAATACCCACATGTCTGCCTGCTACGGAAGTCCTTATAATGAAGTCAAAATATTTCCTGATTGATACCTGCTCCACTTAAGATTTTGGTTGCAATAGCAATGGGGCTTGCATGAACATCTATGTTTGATAATAGGTTGAAGCATCCTCACTAGCTGTCATCTGACTGGACACAGGTCGAGAAGGATGGACCTAGGATTGCTCTCTTTAGTAGCAGTACAACCTTGATGTTGCATTCCACCTCTTTTTCGGGCATTTTTCATGCAATATATAAACTTCACAAGTTAACAAAAAATTGATTTTTTTGTACCTATTAATACTGCTTTAGTGATTATAAAACAACTCTGACATGAGCTAGGTATATCAGGAAATTATACCTGTACATTATATCACTTATCATAACAAATAGACTCTATTAAGGTTATTGGCCGTAATCTTGGGCTGGGGGCAAACATTGGGGGCTGACGTCATAATAAACAATGGCTGAATCGAGCTCCGCAGCTGACGATGCAGCGAATATTATAATCGCCGCGTATAATTCTTAAATTAAACGAATATAACTTGTTATAACTATACATTATAAGGGAGATATATAGTGGGGTATTTTTGTGGAGAGATTGTTTTGGGGTTTTAACAATTTTTTTTCATATTGTACACATGATGAATAAGTGTAATGATATAAGTTGTGAAAAAAATGTCCAATAAGCCCTGGAATTGAATATAAGGGGGGGGGGGGGGGCCCGTTACAAATACCTGTGTTCCAATGCTAATTTAAAGAACAAATTAAATTCATTTTTCAAAGAAATAAATAATAACTTATAATTTTTATACATTATTTATCAAAATTAATAAATCAATCACCTTGGTTAACAAAGCAAGGGCCCCGAAAGTAGGTCGCAATTAATATATATGGTTCAACTTTATGCACCCCTACTTAAAGTGTTCGGAACCTTTAATTTTTCTGTG